TTTTTTTTTATATTTAAAAAGTTTAAAAATCATGTACAATTAGAGGGTAGTGAACATAAAATATATGGATTAACTCGAAACACGGCTACCAATGAATATATGATGGTATTTGAATTTCATTATAAAAGACTTAAGGCGAATGGAACATGTTCACATTGTGGCCGATACAACACTTCACCAGCTTGGTGTCAGACGTGTGACCCTCAAAGAATGACTGAAGGATGGTCAAGTGGAAATAGGACTATTGATGATTGCATCAAAGAATTTCAACTTAAAACAACAAAATATGAAAAGATAATTGAATGGATTCCTTTTGACAGATTAAATAACATCCAAAAGACATGTAATGGGTTTTCGGCATTTTGGTTAGATGGTAAGAGGAAAATTTTAGGCGAGCGCGAAAAATCTACACAATCACGTACACCATCATGTGGAGTTGATCTTAAAGCTTTAGTTAGCTCTCAGAATTTAACAGATCTTATAAGTGAAGTAGGTTAATTTTATTATTTATTAGTGATGACCATACATTAATAACAACATCAAACATAAATTCTTCTTCTTTTGCAAGCTTAAAGATCTAATAAGCAAATTTGAAGTGTATGGACTAACCCGGAATACAACTACAAATGAATATATGATAGTATTTGAAGAATTTATTTCTAAAAGAAATGAACGAAATGGAAAATGTTCATATTGTGGCCGATATAATACTTCAAAAGCTTGGTGTCAGACATGCGATCCTTATAGAACAGCTCAAGGATGGACAACAAGTGGAAATAAAAATGTTGATGATTGCATTAAAGAATTTCAGCTTAAAGCAACAAAGTATGAGGACACAATTGAATGGATTCCTTTCATAAGATTATCACATATTCATAAAACAGATGACGGATTTTCTGCAACTTGGCTAAACGGTAAAAGAGTAATTTCGGGTGATTATAAGAAATATAAACAATCACGAACTGCATCACATGTAGTGGAGCTTAAAGTTTTGACTAGTTCACAAAATTCTTCAGATGCTTTAAAAGAAGTAAGCCGAATTTTATAGAATTTTTGTTGTTCATAGCTTGTAACTTTAATAATGATTTATATTTATAATATTTAGTTTAAAAAGTATATGCAATTAGGGAATGGAGACCTTAAAGTATATGGACTAACTCGAAGTATCATCACCAATGAATATATGATGGTATTTGGCGAATTTGATTCCAAGAGAAGCAAGAATTATGAAAAATGTCCATATTGCAGTCGATACAACACTTCTCCTGCATGGTGTCAATCGTGTGATCCTAAGAAAATAACTCAAGGATGGACAAGTGGAGAAAAAATTGTTGATGACTGCATCAAAGAATTTCAACTTAAAGAAACCGAATATGAGAATGTTATTGAATGGATACCTTTTGGTAGATTATATAATATTAAAAAAATTGATGACAGATTTTCGGCAATTTGGTTAGATGGTAAACGATCAATTTCAAGAGTATTCGGTGGATCAACGCGATCACGTACGTTACCTTGTACAGTCGATCTTAAAAACTTTCCTGGGTCTCATATTACATTAGAATTTTTAAGAGAAGTGAGCTAAATTTTATTTTATGCTATAATTATTGCAGTTTATTTTTGAATTAAAATATATTTCATATATTTTAGTTTAAAAATTATGTTGAATTAAGGGGTAAAGGACTCAAAGTATATGGGCTAACCCGAAACGTAACCACCAGTGAATATATGATGGTATTAGATTTTAGAAAAGATTCGTTGTATGGAAAATGCACAAAATGTAATCAATATAACACCTCAGAAGCTTGGTGTATGGCATGTGACCCTCCAAGAGCATCACAAAGATGGATAAGTGGAAATAAATATATAGATAAGTGTGTTAAAGAATTACAACTTACAGCGACAGCGTATGATGAGGTGATCGAATGGATCCCTTTTGATAGATTTGATAATATTCAGCCGGATGGTGACACATTTTTAGCGACTTGTTTGGATGGCATACGGAAAATTTCATATGAATATCTAAAATCTACACAGTCATATTCACAGTCATGTAGAGTGGCGCTTAAAGCTTTACCTGGTTCCCAAAATTCATTGAATGTTTTGAGTGATGTAAGATAATATTATTCTTTACTTGTTTAAATTTATATTAATATAATGATATATATATATTTTATACTATCTTAGTTTAAAAGCTACATTCAAAAAGAAAGAGTAGAAAAGGTATATGGAATTACTCGAAACATATCTACCAATGAACTTATGATAGTATTTGATAAATTTTATCGTGAAAGAGAAAATTTCTATGGAGAATGTTCAAATTGCAATCAATTTAACACATCACCAGCCTGGTGCCAGTCATGTGATACCTTGAAAGCAACTCAAGGATGGACAAGTGGAGTTAAAGATGTTGATGATTGCATTAAAGAATTTCAACTTGAAGCGGAATATTATCATGATGTGATTGAGTGGATTCCTTTTGAAAAACTGGAAAATATCCAAAAGATTAATGATGGATTTTCAGCGACCTGGCTAGATGGTATACGAATGAATCCATATAATGAAGATGATGATGAGGATGAATACTCTCAATTACGTTCAGAACCATGTGGAGTGGTGCTTAAAACATTAAATAATTCTCAAAGTTCATTAGATTTTTTACAAGAAGTAGGTTTGGAATTTACAATTTATTGTATATAATTTTGAATCATATAATAATGTATCTTAATAATTCTTTTTTTATTTTAGTTTAAAGATCACGTTCGAACAAACAAATTTGAAGTACATGGATTAACTCGAAATGCATCTACAAATGAATACATGATAGTGTATGATATATTTCATTCTGAAAGAAGTGACTATAATGGAAAATGTTCAATTTGCAACCGGTATAACACTTCAGAGGCCTGGTGTCAAACATGTGATCCTCAGAAGATAACCAAAGGTTGGACAAGTGGAAATAAAGAGATTGATGAGTTTATTAGGGAATTTCAACTTAAAACAACGGAGTATGAAGAAGCAATTGAATGGATTCCTTTTGAGAGGTTAAGTGGTTTCCGAAAGATTAATTATGGATTGTTGGCAACCTGGTTAGACGGTAGAAGAGAAATGTCAGAAATTTATATACAGTTGCGTACATCACCTTGTAAAGTTGACCTTAAGCCTTTACCAGACTTTCAGAATTTACCGGACTTTCTAAACGAAGTATGTTAAAGTTTTTATTTCATTATGTGTATATTTTTATCTTAACATAAAGTTATGAATTCTACCTTTATTCATATAATTTTTTATACAAGTTTAAAATTTATGTTCGCTTCGACGATTATGTACCTAATATTTATGGGATAACTCAAAATACAACCACAAATGAGTATTTTATGGTGGTTAATACATTTGATTTTATGAGGAGAGAATCCAATGGTAGCTGTGCAGACTGTAATCGATATAATACTTGCAAAGCATGGTGTCAGATGTGTGATCCACAAAAAATAACTAAAGGATGGACAAGCGGGAATAGGATTGTGGATGATTTCATAAAAAAAATTCAACTTAGAACAACAGAGTATGAAGAAGCGATTGAATGGATCTCTTTTGACAAATTAGATAATATACAAAAGACCAGTAATGGTTTTTCTGCAACTTGGCTGGACGGTAAACGAATAGATCCATATGTTAATGAAAAATGCACACAAACACGCACACCACCATGCATAGTTGATCTTAAAATTATGCCTGATTCTCAAGATTTGTTAGATTTTTTAAGTGAAGTAAGTTAAAACCAAATTTTATTCTTTATTGTGCAAAACTTTATAATTTATTTTGACCAATAATATATTATCTTTAGGTCAAAACATTCATTGATTCGGATTATGATACAATTAAAGTGTATGGACTAACCAGAAATAATGCCACAAATGAATATTTAATGGTTTTTGATTTCAAAAGAGACGAGAGATATGGAAAATGCGCATATTGTGACCGACACAACACTTCAAAAGCCTGGTGTGTATCATGCAATCCTCTGAAAGCTACTCAAGGATGGACGAGTGGGAATAAAGATGTTGATGATTGTATAAAAGAATTCCAGCTTGAAGCAAAAGAATATGATGAAGTCTTAGAATGGATCCCTTTCGAAAAGTTAGATGGAATTCAAGGCGTTAACGAAGGAGAATGTGGATCTGTTTTCATAGCAACATGGCTAGATGGTAAAAGAACTGTTTCTTATGCTGACCTCAAATACATCCAACAACGTACACCATCATATGTGGTTGCATTAAAAAAATTGCCCTGCTCTCATAAAGATTTTTTACAAGAAGTAAGTTGTGTTTTTTTTTTATTTTATTTATTAATTGTTAATTTTACGAATACAATTAATTTATTTACTTTTTATCTTTCAAGTTTAAAAATTATGCAAGACTTAGACATAAGGGTAGTAAACTTAAAGTATATGGAATGACACAAGATAAAATAAATAACGAATATTTGATGGTATTTCAATATGTAAACCGAGGAAGTCTTTGCAAGTTTTTATCAACAAATTTTAATGAGCTTAACTGGAAAAATAAATTAGAACAACTTATAGATATATCAAGAGATTTAACACAGATTCATGAGGCAGGATATGTTCATTGTAACCTTCATAGTGAAAATATATTGCAACATCAATTTATTAGTGATAATCTGAAATCATACATTTCAGGCCTAGGATTAATTAAAAGGAATGAAGATTCATGCACAGAAGAATGCGTATATGGTGTATTACCATATGTCGCACCAGAAGTATTAATTAAACGAACTTATACACCAGCGGCAGATATTTATAGCTTTGGTATAATTATGGCTGAAATATCGACTGGAATGCTGCCTTATTATGATAAAGAACATGATGAGCGGCTAGCCATTGAAATATGTAACGGTTTACGGCCAGAATTTTCCAAAGATACGCCAGAATGTTATATTAATTTAGCAAACCGATGTACGGATGTAAATCCTTCTAATAGACCAAATGCAAAAGAAATTTATCATGAATTGGATGGCTGGAATTATATCATAAACAAAAGTTGGAATAGTATAATAGATGATCAGAGCTGGAATATTCAAAAATCAGAAATAAAAAAGGCATTTCAAACAGCAAATGCCGCCATTCCGAAATTAGTAACATTACCACAAAGCAATTTTCGAGACAAATTTGTAAACAAATTGCTTGACTTTAAAAATCTGCCTGAACCAGTTAATAAACAGGATTAATATTTTAAGAATTGCGGCATGTAATTAAAAATTTTATTCTGAATTATTGTTGAAATATATGTTTTTGTGTTGTAACGTTTATTGAAAATAGCTTTGAAAATATTTTTTTCAAAATAGTGAGTTTTTTTGGATGATTGGTGTTTAGATCTATATATATATTGAATAAGCTATCCACTATTAAAAAAAGAGACGCATTGAGATTTTAGAAGTTGATAATAGCCTGGTAAATTTGCAAAGAGCATAATTGTCTTAGTATAAATTTAAAACTACGAAAGTAGTTGTGCATAATAAATATTAAATATTTGTCATACATCATATTTATACGTAAAGTACTTTAAAGAAAAGCAAAATTCAAAGATTTATTATTTTTATGTACTGTAATAAACTAGCAAGAGCCCGTGCCATTGAGCATGGGTAAAATTAGGGCCGTTAATAGTCCAATCTTTTCAGTCTGGACACCGTAAATAGGGACTTTGATAAGAAATTAATTCTTGAGTCAAGTTGAGACTGTATGTATTAATACGCATTATCCGTATGCCCATGTTGTTGCTACCATAATAAATATTCGTGAATCTGAATATTTAGATTAATGTTCTTTATTCTTATGCACTAAAATCAATGCGAATAAAATGAACTTAAATGGTAAATATTCATGAACTTTTTAAATGCTCAAATTATCGTACTATTAGGGTGGCGCCTCAACTAATAAAATCAAACATAGTCGGGGTAACATATGAAGATCATTAATTTCGGATTTATTAATGGGTAAACTTCAATGCTATCGTTAATCAATTTTTTCGACGATTATACTAAAA